CTGAATACTCTGAGATCGCCACAATAGCACTGTTGCTATTTCCGACATCCTACCTGTGTGAGTCGGGGGGGTTTCTGCAGCAACGGCGACGAAAACAAAATTACGAAGTAGACTGGAATATAAACCACACACTTGAGGTGTCATTGTCTCCTATTACTCCGAGATGGGACTGTCTGATTGCAGAAAATCAAGCTCGGGGCTGTGGTGAGTCGTCATTTTCATGCACTTTGAATTTGCGTTGTATCGTATTTTGAAGGCATTAAACATTACCAGAGCGATAAGAGTGTTGCGACCAGATTAGACGCTCCTTGTGTTTATTATTATATTTCGAAAACACCACAGTTTTCATGCAGCTCATACCATATTATTTTGTTGTATTAATCCGCCACACCTTAAATGCCGGTCCCTGAAAATATTGTCTGACTTAAACCGGTCCGTGGGGCAAAAAAGGGTGGGGACCCCTGATTTAGAGTGTTCAGTCAGCCTGTCATGCATGTTTTTGGAACGTGAGAGGAAACCCGGAAGAAAACCCACGCAGGCATGGGGACACCAGGCAAATTCCACATAGGAAGGCGGGAGCCGGAATCGAACCCTGCACCTCTGCACTGTGAGGCCGACACACTAACCAGTCGACCACCGGGCTCGTGGATATTTATATGTTTTTTTTTTTTTTTTTTTTTTTTTTATTTTTTAAGTTTTTCTATTTTTTTTTTTTTTTTTTTTTTTTTTAATTTGAAAACCTGAACAAAATTATAAGTATCTTAATGAGTGCCCTAGAATATAAGTGTTGCTTTATTTATGTATTTATTTATTTTTACCTTAATCTAATTAACACTACTGACTGATGGGTGCAAGTAGATCAGCAGCTAATTACAGCCACCAGCTAATTACAGCCAGAATTTATTAGCTTGCTCTACTTATTGATTTGTTTTGTTGTATCAGTGCGGCTAGTGGCTGGCAAACAAAACACAATCACAATGTATACGGTTGCGGTCCTTTTTTTTTTTTTTTTTTAATTGAAAGGAGACTGAATTGGAGGACACGTGTGTTTGTCAGCTTCTGCTACAGAGGGAAAGCACCGCATGCACAACATCACGCGGCAGAAAGAAATGCAACAATACACCATGATACCAACATACAATTTGTCACCATTTTTTTCTTTTTTTGTACTTCCCCAACATTCATGTCAGTCTTCTAATTCTGCATATTTAGCGCTACATCTGACGCAGTATTTTCATAGAGATAAACAGAGCAAGAAGACTCAAAACAAATCAATGTCATTTTGAACACCGCACGCTTTACAATCACAGTGCATGTCAGGACACAGCTGTTTGGCTATTTTTTTTCTTTATTTTTTGGTAGTGATTGAGAAGATGTTCCCATTCGACTCATGGGTTTCAATCGGTTTTGTCAACACATTGCCATTGATTATGCAAAGTTTGCTGAAGGTCACATAGGAGCACTAAAAACTAAAAACCAAACTAAAAATAAAAAACTGAAATATAGGGCCAAAGTAGTTAAATCCCAGCTGACAGGCAGGGTACACCCTGAACCGTTCACCAGCAAATCTCAGGGCACACCGACTGTAGACGAGCAATTCACACTCACATTTCTAATTTAGGACAATTACAGTATTCCCTGAACCAAACAAGCATGTTTTGGGGATGTGGGAGGAAACTGCAGGGCAGTAGGCGGGTTACACCCTGAACTGGTTGCCAGCCAATCACAGGACACACCCGAGACGAACAACCATTCGAGCTCACAATCTCACCGAGGGACAATCTGGAGTGCCCAATCAACCCTCATTACTTTTTTTTTTGTTTTTTTATTTTTTTGGGGGGGGGGGGGGAGAAACCGGAGTACCCAGAGAAAACCCACGCAGGCACGGGGAGAGCATGCAAAATCCACGCAGGAAGGAGCTGGAATCGAACCTTGCACCTCTACACTGTGAGGCCAACGTGCTCACCAGTAGCCCACTTCGCCGCCCACTGAGGACTAGTTAAAACTAAAATAAAGAAACATCAGTACAATAAATGAAAAAGATCTAAAGAAAAGTGAAGCGAGTCAAATAAATAACATCATTTTAAAATATTTACAATAAAGATAAGTAGAAGTGAAATAAATGGAATACATAAAAGGTGACAAATTGAACTACATGGTACAGTACCTACATTAAGACGCAAACTAAATTGCTGCAAACAAATAAAAACCAAAAATATAAAATCGTAGAAAGGGTTCTGTCAGTCGTCATCTGTACCTGTGGGTAAAAAACAAAAAACAAAAAAACAAAAAACAAAAAAACAAAAAAGGACGTTTCGCTTCTCTCACAGAAGCTTCGTCAGCGGTAGACAACCTGAAGTCTCCGTGAAGACTCCGGGAAGTTGCTCTGCGCTAAAAA